TATCGTATTCATAGATACTTCCATAAAGATTGTCTACTATGTTTCACGGCAAACACTTTAAAATCTCTTTCCATGCCGATATCCGTCCTTCGAGTTTATTAGACTTACCGAAAGCGTGGCATTTAGTTATTATACTGACTAAGATAATTTATTGGACAATATACTTTCAACGTAGCATTTGATCTGAACCAGCATCATGTTCTCATATTTTTTCATATATTTATTTTTGAATTACTCAGAATTGAACTGAGATACATCTATTATGAGTGGAATGATTTACCATTGAGCTATAATTCATTCTTTGCAGCATGGGCCAACATAAACTAGTGACAGCCAAGGCGAGTAAAAACTACAGATCATAAGAAGAGATAGTGCAAGCGTTGTATTTTATTCTGTTGCTTTGTGCTTCGCCGGTGAGCTGCAATCTAATTCCTTCTACAGCAGTGGGAATGAAGACCTGCTTCTCGTATGGTCGACAGACATGTCGTGAGTTTGCTGAGTCCGTTTGGAAATTCAGTGGGTGCCTGTCCTGTCCATGGCAATACAGAGTCTTTTAGCTCAGATATTGATAGTCAGAGTATGGGATTCAGCTTCGGGCACCAAACTCAGAAAGTAAGGCTGGTTCACGGATTTTGATCAAGCTAAATATTCTCATCGCTCTGGCTGCAATTTTTTAAGCTCAAAATAGATGTGAAATGTTGCTAAAGGGATGTGACAGAACACATATATTCTTTCATCGACTTGTATCAGTATTTCAACCGTTCAATTTGCAAGCCTTCAAGATCAAGACAAATTTTAGTGGCTTCCAATTGAAGAAAAAGTTTCAAATCATTCTTTCCCTGGAAACTTTGAGATTTATCAAGAATAGGAATCAACACGTTGTTTCTTGTCTCGTGGCGGTGGTGCTCCTTGGGGCCACCCAAATGTCTGGAAGGACAGTTTGCTGGAGATCAGGAATCTAAAGTGGGCGCCCAAATTCCTCTGCATTCATGGCTATTGTTGGCTTGTAAGATTGATCGGCAGATTAACGGTTGCAAGAAGTGTTTTAAAGATTTAAAGAGTCGACATTCTGATGCCTGAGGGTAAAGCTCCACGTAAGTATTTACTTATAACAACATTTTTCGCACCCAGTCGCACAGCGTTGCAAGGGGAGTATATGGGGCCTTCTTACGCAAAATAAACAGGTCTTAAATTCGCTCGGCGAATGGTGCGGCTTACACGGACGTAAGTATGGGTTTATACTGGTAGAACGATATCCTTTTTTTTTTGGAAGTTGTCACTAGAAAGGTGCCAGTCGTGTCTAAATGGGCACTAGTCAGATGGTGCATTATCACTACTTGCGAATGATCTGGATTCATCAGAAACTTTTGTGGCTAGAAAGCTAAGTAGAAGATCCGAGCAGCTCAAGCCTGTTTGAGCTCTAGCAGAATAGCGAAGTCCAAAGTGTCAATTCCTAGTCAGCAGAGTTTATGGTTAAGACTACGACGGTATCTGATCATCTTCGATCCCCCAACTTTCGTTCTTGATTAATGAAAACGTCCTTAACAAATGTTTCGCAGTAGTTAGTCTTCAGAAAACCTAAGAATTTCACCTCTTACAACTAAATACTAATGCCCCGACCGCCCCTTAATCATTACGATGGCCTTAGGAACCAACAAAATAGAATCTTCGTCCTATTTTTTTGAAAAGGCTTTACCTAATGGCCCTGGGTAACGTGATGTCATGGGATTGGCCAGTCCGGGGCGGGCAGCCTGCAGAGGCCGAAGCTAAGCGCGTGCACGTGACTGAAGAAGTGATGGAGCCAGCGCTAATAGAGCCGGCCATAGCATAACCGGTGATGATTGAGGCAGCACACAGCCAATTCTGGGGATTCGGTATGTCTCGCTCTTTTGAGGACAGACTAGAATTGGCGAGATTGCGTTTTCTTAATCTGGTACAGCTATCACGCGGAATTGGCGAGATTGTGTTTTCTTGATCTGGTACAGCTATCACGCTTCTTTAGCTACCAGCCAGGTGTACCCGCCAGGGTTCGTACAAAAGGCGATACGCCTTTGAAGAAAGGCTGCACGTGACACGAAATCAGGGAGGTAACGCTTTAGTAAAGCCGATAGATATTTTTTGCGATATTTCAGGCCGCAGTGATCTGGCGTTACCCCAGTTTCGCAGCCGCAGCGGAATATTAATTGGGCGCGCCATTAAACCAGGGCCCGGGAGATAACTGGGTGTGCGAGTAGACCGCAGACGGAATGTTCTATTAAGATAGAGAAGGCCACAAAGCAAGTTTTAGACATTTTCGGCTGAGGGAACGCCGGGATTGAAGAGGGAAGCGGCAAGTCAAGTATCAAATCAGCAAGCTCAATCAAGCTGGAGGACAAAACAGGCAAGAACTAGCAAAGAAAAGACAAATAACAAGGAAAAGATAAGAAAGCAAAAACAGAGAAACACAGGAAAGACCAAGAGTCAATGAAGCAAAGAGAAGAAGAGGTGACATTTAGGCAAACGTGGCATTAAGGTGAAGGTGGCATTATGGCAAACGTGGCATCAAAACAAAGCTGACATTGAGGCAAACGTGGCATGAAGGCAATGGAGAGATTAAGGCAAAGATGATATTGGGACAAATCTGACATTATGGCAAGCTGAGATTAAACCAAGGATGAAATTAGGACAAAGCTGTTGTTAAGACAAATCTGACATTGGGACAAAGCTGATATTGAGACTAAGGTCAGATGAAGGAAAAGCTGAGATGAAGGAAAAGCTGATATTAAGACAAAGATGGAATTAAGACAACGCTGAAATTAAGACAAAGGCCAGATGAAGGAAAAGGTGACATTAGGACAAAGCGACATCAAGACAAAGCTGACAATAAGACAAAACTGACATCGAGGCAAAACTGGCATTGAGGCAAAGCTGAAGACAAGCTGAAATCAAGACAAAGCACAAATTATAACAAAGCCTCGGCTGACATCAAGACGGCTGACACCAAGACGGCTGACACCAAGACGAAGCTAAGACAACGGACGCCAAAACACAACTCTGACCACATACTACAGGCCCCAAATGCCGCCGTCAGACATGGTTGAATGCCGCCGCTGCAGGCAAGAAAAGGCGCGGGCTCAAATCCACCGCGCCAAGTCTTCGGGCCAAACTCTGCGGCGCCCAGCCTAGCGCACCAGCTTCACCCGCACTATCGCACCAAGTCTACGGCGCCATATCTATCGCGCCAAGTCTTTCGCACCAAGTCTACGGCCCCATATCTACGGCCCCATATCTACGGCCCCATATCTACGGCCCCATATCTACGGCCCCAAATCTATCGCACCAAATCTATCGCGCCAAATCTATCGCGCCAAATCTACCGCGCCAAATCCACGGCCCCATCCACCGCAACCTCACGCTCTTTTCAGGACCGCCGCCAAAACACCACACACCCCCCAGAAATCCCCCCCTCCGCCCGGAAAATGGATCTCCCGCGGTCGCCGCTCTTCCCCGACGCGGCGTTGGCCTTGTCGCCCGGCGGCGCCGACGACTGCCCGGCGCTCTTGCCGCAGTTGCCGCGCCTGCCCTTGATTCTGACCTCCACGCTCCAGGTGTACGTGGTGCCCGCCGAAAAACACCTCTTTGTGCAAGGCTTCAAGCCCGCCGAGTACGAGACGCGCCCGCCCACGTTGCTCCGCGGCTCGCTCGTGCTCCGCGTGTCCAAGCCCAACAAGATCCGCGCCGTCAGCCTCACCTTCAAAGGCACGCAGAAAACCGACTGGCCCGAGGGAATCCCGCCCCGGCGCCACGTGTACGCCGAAACAAGGGACCTCGCCAACCACCTGTGGCCGTTCTACCACAGCGACGCGCACACGGCGGACTTTGGCGCCGCGTTCGTGGTGCCCGCGGGCAAGGCCGGCGCGTGCGACGACGTGTCGCCCTTGAGCCTCGACGCCCACGCGCCGGCCGGCGGCGGCAGCGCCAAGCCCGGGCCGCAGCTCTTGGCCGTGCCCGAGAGCTCGCTGTTCGCGGCGTCCATCATGAAAATCGCGTCGTCCACGACCCACAGCCTCTCGCCCGTCAGCTCGTTTGTCGACCTTGCGACCGCCCGGTCCGCGCCGCAGAACGCGTCGGAGGCGCGCCCGGGCTACTTCCCGCCGGGCGACTATGTGTACAACTTCGAGCACCCGCTCCCGGCGCTGTCGCCAGAGACCGTGCAGACGTCCTTCGGCTCGGTCAGCTACCACCTCGAGGCCAGCGTCACGCGGCACACCACGTTCAAGTCGCACCTCTCGGGGCGGCTCCCGATCACCGTGGTGCGCGTGCCGTCCGACCACAGCGTGGAGGAAAACGAGCCCATCGTCATCGAGCGCGACTGGGAGGACCAGATGCGCTACGAGATCGTGGTGGCCAGCAAGTCCGTGGTGTTGGACTCGTACTTGCCCATGTCGCTCAAGTTCGTGCCGCTCTTCGGCAAGGTGGCCTTGCACCGCATCCGCGTGTACATCACCGAGGACTGCAGCTACTCGTGCAGCAACAACTCCGTGCAGCGCACCGAGCCCTCGCGCAAGTACCTCTTGCTCGAGCACAAGGCCGGCAAGAACCAGTCGCTTCTCCTGGGCCCCGGCACGCTGCCCGCGGCCTTTGGCCCGCACGACGAGGTCTTGCCGCGCGAGTTGGAGTTCCAGATGTTCGTGCCCTCGGCCGTCAACAGGAGGCTGGGCGACACGCTCCATCCGGACACGGCCGTGGACGGCATCCTGTGCCACCACTGGATCAAGATCTCCTTGCGCATCTCCAAGCACGACCCGCTGCGCCCGGAGAAGCGCAAGCACTACGAGATCCTGATCGACTCGCCCATCCACCTCTACTCGCCCTTGGCCGCGCACAACAACACGCTTCTCCCCGTATACCACCGCGAGCCGGATGCGCTTCCCACGTACTCCCAGCTCCCGCCGGCCTCGCCCAACGTGACCGTGGTCGACGCGTCCGGCCTCCCGTCGCGCCTGCCCATCCAGTTCCACCACATTGCCAGCTCGGCCGACCACGCCAGCCCCATGCTCCGCGACGCCGACATGCACCTCGACTCCAACTTGTACAGGCCGGCCAACGCCGAGGTCTTGAGCACCATCGGCTCGCCGCAGGCCACGGCCCTCAGTCCCGCCGTGTCCCCGGTGCCGAGCCCGGGGCGCGGCCTGCCGGAGCCCTCCATGGACCCGCCGCACTTCAGCATCATGGGCGTGGCCGACGACACCTTGCCCCCGGCCTACGAGGAACGCTCGCCGTCCGTGAGTCTCTCGCCATTGCGGCTCGACTCCGCCCAGGCGTTGCGCCACGAGTCCTCCTCGGGCTCCATGGGCATCAAGGACAAGCTCAACATGCTGTTTGACACGCGGGGAAGCAAGCCTGCCTCGGAGCGCGCGTCCTTGAACAGCACCGGCTCGTCGGAGAAAAGCAGGAAAGACGCGCCGGATGCGCCGGGCCCGAGCGGCCCGCCCCGCAAGCTCCACGGCACTTCCGACCCCTTCACCACCGCCTCCGCCACCGCCACCGACGCCACCTCGATTAAAAGCAGCGGGTCTACTTTTAACTCGAGCACATCCAAGCCAGAAGCCAGCGATACGCGCGTTCCCGTGATCCAGGCACATGCCCCAGCCAGCCAGCCTGAACAAGACGTGCCCACAAGCGTTGACATCAGCACGGACATCACCGACTTGGGAGCGCCGCCTTCGCAACATGGGCAGGACGCCTTCTCTCGCAAGTCATCAATATGCCTGACGAACTATAGGCTCAACGCTCCTGACGACTATGATCTCAATCAGACTCTTCCCCTCCTTTCTCCTTCATCGACTAGGAATGATCTGAGGCTCCTGGTGGACTCGGACAGACAACACGACCCCATGGGCTCCATGACGGATCTCGTCACATCCAATCGATTCGACGAGCTCAGGACCGCGAGCGCTTTGCCCCACTTCCGCAACCGAAGATTGAGTAAACACTATGCTGACGACATGGACGACGACGGCGGGTTGGCTGTTGACCATCTTCCCAAGCCGCGTCAAAAGAGTTTTGGGGTGATTCCTGCCATACGAACGGACAGCTTGGACGCAGGGGAAAATGGGAGCCAGGCCACTTTGAGCCAGATCAGCCACTCCCCGAAGGACGTGATGTACAAAGAGCCGAGGGGAACTCACCAGATGACTTCGAATTAGCATGCCGAGATGCGCCTGGGCTATACAAGAGCCACCGCAGTCAGGTCGATATAGCTATATCTATATAGAGAACTTCTCGGAAGTTTTGCTGTCGACGATCCTGCCGTCCTTCTCCTCGAGCTGGCCGAGCCACTCATACAAAACCCCCAAGTCACGATTGGCCAAGTCTTCACGCTCACATGCCTTGAGGTACCATTTTTTCGAGATGTCGCCCAAGAACAAAGAGCGGCCGGCAGACTCGGCGCAGCCGGTCGCCAAGACCAAGTCTTTCTTTGTCAATTTGGTGATGAAACCGCCCTTGTATCCAACGTCGGCTGGCATGCTGGCCTCCTTCGGGTATACGTCCGGAATGGGACAGTTGTCGACAGAAGCCCACGACTTGCCCGTGGAAACGGCCACGAGCTTTGCGTATTCCTGCAAGTTCAAGTCGAACGCCTTGGCCAACTGGAAAGAATCCGCCACGGCTAAGTTGGTCACGGCTAACAAGTAGTTGTTGGACAATTTGGCTGCGAGTCCCGAGCCATGGTTTGGCCCGCAAGGGAAGATGTTTTTGCCCATCATATTCAACAATTTTCTCAACGCAGGAGACACGTCTTCATGGGCAGTTCTCGAGAGCATGAACGACAAGGTGGCTTTCCTTGCGCCCGCAACCCCTCCCGAAACCGGAGTGTCGATGAAATCGAAGCCTGGGAGCTGCTTTGTAAGATATTCGTGCACCTCGACAGAAGTCTGGATATCGATTGTGGACGAGTCCAAAACGGCGGTCTTTTTGCTACCCGAAAGAGCCGGATTTTGCCTGTGCGCTTGCACAAACTCCTCCGCCACATGCTTCACGTGGCGGCCCTCGGGGACCATTGTGATGAGAAAATCCAACTGCTCTTCGACGCTGGTCACAAAATCAGCCGTGCTGGAAAGCGGCCGCAATAATCTTTTATTGGCTGGGTTTTCTTGGGTGACATTTTTTACAAATGCAGACGTGGCTTCCGGCACCACGTCATGCACATAGAGCCTGTCCAGGGGCTCCAACGCGTTGTAGATGTGTTTTGCCATGTACTGGCCCATCTGGCCCAACCCAATGAATCCGTATTGTGCTAAATTGGGCCCACCGTGGGAAAAGTGTCTGCGGGCCGCACTGGGTACCCATGAATTACAGAGAGTATACGCTCTAAGCATGGCCAGGGCGTGGTGTGTCGTAGCTAAAAAGAGAGGTAATATTTGCGAATCGAAAGACCAGGTTTTTGGCTTTGTGTGGCGTTTTCCGATTGAATTTGCAGACGTCCGAGAATGTTTTGTGGGGATCGCGTCCGCTATTTATACGGACTCCGAGCCCGCGGTTTCCCCCACATTTACCCCGGACTGCGACAGGCATTATCCGGGGATATCACTTCCACGGAACGGCGGAGGGGTGTGTGCAAGGGCCGAGAAATCTGCTGGAATTCCCAAACCTCCCGAACAAAAGTGGAAGTGGCATGCTACCGATGAGGCAATGGGATTGTGGTATTTTGATTAGACATGTTGTATGTCTCTGTTTGTATGCCTGTGATGGGAACACGAGACAATATAGGGCTGTATTGTAATTGAGTTATTCTGGTAGTGATTTTTTTTTTTCTTATTTTTCATTCAGTTTTAGTTCCGTTTGTTCTGAAGGCAGAAGAATTATCCAAGTCCAGGTCTGATATCGGACATGCTACGTTTCTTTATTCGTATGCCATTATTGCTTGATTCTTTTGGTACAAGCTTCTCACGGCAGGGCTCCACTTGAATGCGTCTGGATTTTCCCTGCTTGGTTCCAGTTTCTAACTAAACTTCACAATAGTTATTTTTTGAGTGAAAGATCTATCTCTTTTCTTGTGGTATCGTATTCTTATGCGCTTCGGACTGGACCTGGATATACGACAGTTCATCTGTAGTCTTATCAAAGTAGCAAACTGTTTGATTTCTGATTTATCAGACTAAAGAGGTTGCCTGGTATGTCGTCTTGCTGCTGAACGCTGGCATAAAGTTTCGTGGGTCTTTGGGAATCACTTTCGAGGATCCTCACACTTCAAACAAAGCCAACTGACTCGGCTCGAATTCCAGCTCGGCATTTTTCGGTTTCTGATGTATTTTCACTCAGCACACTTCTGAAACCACTGAAGCACCCTGATTATTCGATTTTTGGATCTCAAGCTTGGCTCTTACCACTGGTTTGCCCAAGAGTGGAACAAGCCCCAGAGACCCAGAGCAAACAGTAAATGAACCAGCATTAGAGTACTCTTGAATGAGTAAAGAGCCTTTCCAATAGCACCGCGGAGACGTGGGATTGTTAATATGCTGCCACTAAACAAAATCGTTAGCCTACAAAAGATCTTCTTTCTTGGAAGAAATCGTTTGGAGCTCCATCTCTCAGACACTTTCGGAATGAGATTTTTTGTAAGACAGACCATGCGTTTCATTCCAGCCAGAAAAGTAATTAATGCGTCCGACCGTAAAGAGTAGTATAAAACGATTGATAAGGGGCCAGTTGCTCAGTCTTCTAAATGGCCTGTTCGTGAGTGCAATCGTGTGAGAGGTCAACTCATTGAAATTAGAGGCAAGTCTTTGATGATATCCCAATCCACGGTCTCAACGACCAAAACATGTCTTCTCACAGTTCATCAGCACTTCAATAACGTGTCTCTTTATTTTTACTTGATGATCCCTATGTGAATATTGTGGATTTGTCCTTCTAATTGTGGGCCATATTCATCATATCTTGTTTTAGCTGTCCTCAGAACTGTATGATATAGTTTCCCATGATACTGCCTGCAACCAAATCGATAAAAAGCAAACAAAATTTGTACAGGGATATGTTTTTTCCAGGACTCCATAACTATTATAGAAAATAGCATTCTACGGTAAGCTCTTATTCTGTATGCTATGATTCTGTGTATATCATAACTTATATCAATAGTTCCGCTGCTTATTCACAGCCGAGCTCAAATCTTGGTGGGGAATATAAGCTGTATTTATTACCATGGCATTATTCTCTCTCTACCTATAGGCTACGTTTTAGATAGCCGAGTCGTATTTATACATCCAAGTATAAAACAGCCTTTGGAAGAATTCCTGAGAGTCACCAAATGCACTCATGCAAAGCAACTACATAATAAAATGTTTATTTTCCAAAAAAATGAAAAATATTGGAGACGTTCCGCCGAAATGCCCCAAGGCTCTTTCGGACCGTGGCTCCTATTTCGGCAAAGCGCTCCGCAGAATCTCCGCAGGCGGAGAATCGGTCCCGCAGCAATAATCCACAGTCTGCAAACTCCTTATTAAAAGAAGAAAAAAAAGAGCACGAAATTCAAAAGCCCCCCACCAGACCACATATATGTATCCCACCCAAATGTCTGTCTGTGACTTCTAGGCCCGCCCGCTTTATGGGCTGCCAGCGATAGGCCCAGTCTATGCGCATTTGTTATCTCAGATGGCTCGCTTACACCTGCGGCCTGCGGCCGCTATCACCTGCCGTTTGTGTCCGCAAATGCGCGCCTGGGACCAGTATTAAATGGGCGCAAGATCTAATTTCCACCTCCAGCACCGTAAAACCACGGCAGGCAGTCTCTCTTTTTCTGGCCCCACGCACCTTTCTGACCCCTGGATATTTCTGAAACATGTCTGAAACGTCTGCTAGCAGCCAGGTCCCGCAGAAAACCAGCTACGGCACGCGGAAACCGGGCCCGGCGTACTTCCCTCAAAAAGGCCTGAAGATCTATGCTGATAAGGCTTTGTACGGTCGAATTGCCAGTGCACCCAAAACAAAAGTGGAGTCCCATTTGTGTGCTCCCAGAAGCGGCATTGCCATCAAGGTGCCGGCAAAATCGCTAGTTCGGCTCACGACACCCGAGGGCCCACAGGTTTGTGATCTCAATATCTGGAACCAGCACAACCACCGGGAACGGTTCTGGGCGGCCCGGACTAGACAATTGCATTCGGCGCACGTGTCCACATGTGACCGGTTATGGTCTATCTTACCTTTTTTGCGTCCGTTGGTCACAATCACGGCAGACACCTTAGGAGGACGGCACACCGAATGGGGCGGGCGCATCAACGATACTTTGGGTACCCGCTGTGATCCCTATGTAGACAAGCTTATTTCGGGAGAAGACAATGACTTCCACTGCCACCTGAACCTAGTGCGTGCAGTAATGCCTTTTGGGTTGACTGAGTATGATGTGCATGATGTGTTGAATGTCTTCCAGGTAACTGGGCTCAATGAGTACGACCAGTATTTCATGGAGGCGTCGCCCGCGAAGAAAACAGACTATTTCGAGATGTTTGCTGAGCAAGATTTGATCATAGCTATCAGTGCGTGTCCGGGCGGAGACCTATCTAACTGGGACTGGGGTGAAAAGGAGGGCGGAGACACCAAGATGCAAGACAACTGCAGGCCCTTGGGTATCGAGGTGTACCGACTCGACGATGAGTCAGTATTGGACGGATGGACGCCTCCCGAATACGCTCCTTACAAGGGCAACCACGGTTTGAAGCTTCCGTGAAGAAGACGGATTTGGTCAGGACAATGTGTAAATAGACGGGAGGCATGAACATAGTTTTTTTGTGTCTATGGAGAAATAAGACAGCAACGTACTTACCGCAGTATGTAGGTTGTATTCGAGGCTCTAGTCAAAGCACTTCGGGTCTGCCTGGACGGTCTTGGCCCAGAGTCATCATGCCGTCGATGTGTATTTCCGAAAGGGCAAGTATTGGCGTTTGTTTTCTTGTATTACTGGCGGTGTATTTACATAGTTTAAGAGTCACGAGTCTTGGGAATCAGAAGAGTCACACAAAGGTCTTGGGAATCAGGAAGGTGCTCAGAATTAGAAGACATCTTGTAATCAGAGGGTCTTGGGAAACAAGAGAGGTCGTTTGTACCAAAAAAAATCTCTCTTTGGAATCAGAAGAAAACTTCGGATTTAGAAGTTCTTGGGAATTAGTAGATCGTCGGAATCAAAAGAGAGGTCCTTGGAACCAGAAGGTCTTCGGAATTAGTAGATCGTCGGAATCAAAAGAGAGGTCTTAGATCGTCGAAATCAAAAGAGAGGTCTTCGAAGCTTCCAAATTAAAAAAGGTCTTCGAACCAGAAGGTCGTGGACAATAGAGCATCATCGGTACCAGAAAGTCCTCGGAACCAGAAATGACTTCGGAACGACAGGCGGTACCGGAAAACCGTGCATTAGAGTCTTTGCTTTGTTCTCTTTGTCGAGAGGCTCCTGTAGTTGCAAGGACTGTGGCTGGCCAATACTCGCACCATCAAATACCTCAACCCTTGCCTAGGCATCTCACCACCACGAAGCGGCTGATACAGGCCCGCGTCTCTTGAAGTATACGCAGAAGGGTTCCAGCTGAGGGAAAGCACCTCTGTGAAACGGCTGGCCGGCCGATATTTTGGATCCGAGAGCATGGGCATCTTTGGCGAGTTGCTGTCAAGTCTTCAGCTACCCCAGAAGATGAGAGGGGCAAGAGGGGCCATTCCAATGGCTCGCCTCTTCTTTCAAGACATGCCTTCAGACGGAGGCCAGGCGGCTTGTGGCGCTCCAGTGACGAGCTACTTGTGGATGACCACCAAGTGGCTCACATTCGGCCCAGGCAAGGCGCCCAAACAGAACTGCAACTAGCGCTCACGGCGTATCCAGGAGCAGCAGCCTCCGCACACCCAAGCCCCTCCAGAAAAAGGCGAGAGGCCCTGGCTCCTCCAGAAAAAGGCCTGGCCCCTTCCCAAAAGAGGCGAGAGGCTCTGGCCCCTCCAGAAAAAAGAAGGGCGTCTCGCCGTGCATGACCACGCGTGGCCGAGCGGCTCAGGTAGTGCCGTCGATTGCATTTCCGAGCCACTCGCTGAGCTCGTCGTCCACCACGAACCCGGCCACGTTGCTGCCCGTGTACTGGATGTGGTCGCCGCGCGCCACCACGTCCTTCAAGAACTGGAAGGCGTGGTGCGCGTCGGGCGGCCCTTCCACGGCGACCGCCGCCACCACGGCCTTCTTCTCGATGTCCAACGTCACGCACACGCCCCGCTCGCGGTGGTGGAAGCGGTGCAGGAACCTGGGCGTGGCGCCGAACCGCCACTGCCACAGGCGGAGCTCGTCGGCCGTAGCAACGACCTCGTGCGGGAGTGCGACGGACTCGTCGATGGTGAACACCGGGCACTCGCGCGCGGAGTACGCGTCCACGAAGCCCTGGAGGCCGAGGAGCTCGGTCTGGTCGAACGCTGCGGGGTCCGTGTCCTCGGCAGCAGGCCGGCCGGCCACGCAGCCGTACTTGTCCTGGAACGCGCGCGTGACACAGCGGATGAAGTCGTCGCGGGCCATGCCCACGTTGGCCACCGGCGAGCGGACCGACGCCACGGCCGACGGCGCGTGCACGTGGCCTAGCGCGGACTCGTCCCTGTGGAGAAGCAGGCGCAACACGCCGAGCCGCAGGCTGAGCAACATGGTGCCGTGGTGGTACGACTTGCCCCGCGAGAGCTTGTACGCGGACCCGGACACCTTCTCACGGGTGGCGGCGGTGACAATGTCGCCGCGGTCATTGACGGCGAGGGCGTGTTCCGGGCCGCCGGCCGCGGTCACGGCCTGCGCCACGAGCCGCGCAAACGAGAAGCGGTCGAAGAGCTCCTTGCGCGTCATGAAAGAGTAGTTGACGTTGCCCACGTCGTGCACCACGGCGCCGCCGCCCGAGCGGCGCCGGACCAACGGGATCCGCAAGTTCGAGAGCGCCGGCATGTTGACCTCGCGCCACGGGTTCTGGTTCTTGCCCACCACCACGCACGCGCCGTTGACGTAGAACATGAGGCGGTTGCCGCAGCTGCCGGGTGCCAACGGCATGCGGCTGTACACGTAGTCCTCGATGGCCAAGTTGACGTAGGGGTCCGAGAGCCGCGACACAAACACCACCGGCTCCCGCGCCGTGCAGAGCTGCTCGAAGCCGCGCGGCCAGGCACTTGGCCGGAGCTCGCCGGGGGCCGGCGCGGCCGTTGTTTCCGGGGTTTGCGGCCTGTTTTCCTGGTCTGGGCCGGCGCCAGGCCCGTCTTCCGGCACCGGCCACGACATGCCCTGCTGCTCGCGGAGCGCCCGCACGTCCGGCGCCTCTTGGTAGTGCTGGAAGTCCGCCAAGCCGAACGCGTCGTCGTCGGCCGGCGTCAAGTTGTCCTGGAAAGGCACGCTGTGGAAACGGCGCTGTAAAAGCCACGTTTGGCTGGGGGGGCGCGTGCACTTGGGCTGTGCGTGGAGAAGCCTCACGAACATGGCTGTGAGACGGGCGAATGGGGTGGAGGATGGGGTGTGGATGGGCAAAATAGGGCTTGTTGGCCGCGGAAGAGACGGTGTGGCGGGGTCCGCGGGTTGTTGTGGATATCTGTGGATGTTCGTATGGCCCTAGATCTGTAGTTCGCGCTGGCCCTGAGAAAATATGTAGATGTTCGCGCTGGCCCTGTAGATGTTCGCGCTGGATCTGTAGATGGTTGAATGGCCCTGATTTTTTAGATGTCGTATGGCCCTGAATTGGTAGATGCTTGCATGGCCGTTAATTTGTAGATTGTTGTATGGCCCTCAATTCTTAGATGGTTGCATGGCCCTCAATTTGTAGATGTTTGTATGGCCGTTAATTTGTAGATGTCGTATGGCCTTAATTTGTCGATGTTCGTATGGCCCTGAATCTGTCGATGTTCGAATGGCTCTGAATTTGTAGATGGTTTATTTGTAGATGTTCGTAGGGCCCTGAATCTGTCAATGTTCGTTGGGCCCTGAATTTGTAAATGTCGTATGGCCCTGAATTTGTAGATGTTCGTAGGGCCCTGAATTGGTAGATGCTTGCATGGCCGTTAATTTGTAGATTGTTGTATGGCCCTCAATTCTTAGATGGTTGCATGGCCCTCAATTTGTAGATGTTTGTATGGCCGTTAATTTGTAGATGTTCGTATGGCCCTGAATCTGTCGATGTTGGTATGGCCGTTGATTTGTAGATGTCGTATGACCCTAAATCTGTAGATGTTTGTATGGCCCTTAACTTGTGGATGTTTGTATTGCCCTTACTTTGTCGATGTCGCATGGCCCTAAATCTGTTAATTTTCGTTGGGCCCTGAATCTGTAGATGTTTGCATGGCCCTGAATCTGTAGATGTTCGAATGGCTCTGAATTTGCAGATGGTTGTATGACCCTTTATTTGTCGACGTCGTAGGGCCCAGAATTTGTAGATGTTCATAGGGCGCAGGATTTGTAGGTGTCATATGGCCCTCAATCTGTAGGTGTCATATGGCCCTCAATCTGTAGGTGTCATATGGCCCTCAATCTGTAGATGGTTCAATGGCCCTAAATCTGTAGATATTTGTATGGCCCTAAATCTGTCGATGCTAGTATGGCTCTGAATCTGTCGATGTCGTATGGCCCTGAATTGGTAGATGCTTGCATGGCCGTTAATTTGTAGATTGTTGTATGGCCCTCAATTCTTAGATGGTTGCATGGCCCTCAATTTGTAGATATTCATATGGCTCTGAATTTGAAGATGTTCGTATGGCCCTTGTGTTGTCGATGTCGTATAGCCCTGAATTTGTGGATCTTCGCGCTGGCCCTGAGGGTATTCCGCTTGGGTACCAATGCAGAACCATCTCTATGTCAGCTAATTCATGCCAAAAAAGAAGAAAGAATAATTCGGAGCCTGCCTGGTGGGTCGTC